AGCCTTACCTAGCTTGTCCTTTATGCTTTTTTACTACTATATGATTTCTCGATACAGTGAATATACAAACTGTAAGAAGGAATGACCCTTTTATTTAGTTCTTACATTTGGGGATAACTCAATGAGAATATCAAGGCATAATTTGACAACCAGGGTCACAGTGACCATGAAATATTATCTCATGATGACTGGGATAGGAAATAGTACTAAGAAAGAAATAAAAACAATGAACTTCACTTTAGAAATGATGTTTTCAATAAACTTACAGAGATGGTGGTAAGTTTTCAAGGAAAATTTATCTAAGGTGTAAAGGATTTAAGGAAAGTTAGTAATATCTTACAAAAAAAAAATCCCACAACGAAAACAAACAAAGCAACAACAAAAATAAAACAAACCAAAGAAGCAAACAGAAAAATATTAAGTAAATGTTAAAGAAAAACAAGCAATACACCAACACAGCAAACCAAAAAAAACCCTCATTATGAAGAAAGAATAGTAAGATATAAGTTGCCCCAAATCATGAACTTTTCCTGATTCCAAACACAAGATGGAATGTACAGGAAATATGTGAAACATGCTGTAACAAAAGGTCAAATAAACTATTTATAAAAAGATATATATGTATAAAAACACTCCTCACAAATATGTATGCATATCATAACAACTAACGTAGTTGTATGAAAAATAAACTGAATAAAACTATATCCACAAGAGACAAGTAACTTGTCCGCAAGTAACTTTTTAAATTGCAAGAGCAACTAAATACTGAAATACATTGCCTGGGGAATCACGACCATGAAAAGTCTTTGGAATAGGCTAGAAATCCATCTGCCAGGATGGTTGTTAGGAAGTGTTATTGACTCTGCCCTGGGGAAGGCAGGATTGGAGGCTTTTCCCATGATTCTTCCAGCCCTACAGTTCAGTGTCCATTTCCATTAATTCTATCAGTTTTAGATGGTATTCTGTGCCCTTCAGAGCCCAACCCATTACCTCACTTATCTTGTCTGTATGAACCTGGGTCACTTCACCATTCTTCCCTCAGTGTTATACTGAGGGTGGACCTGGTCCATCTCCTCGGTATTTGAGACCCAGTTGCTATGGTAAGGAAGAACAGGGCATAACACATGAGAAGGATGTGGTTATGCGGCAGTTGGGCTGGAGAGAATTGGGAGGGAAAACAAGGAAAGAGTTGAATTTCTGTGTTAAGTGTGTCTAAGGGTAAAGAGAACACAAATGTATATGAAATGCATTCACTAGTGTAGTATCACTTATCATGAAAGGGCAGTGAACAATGTTCACTGAACAGTGTTTTCATTTTTAAACACCTGATTAAAGGTTTCATTAAAAGTTGATTTCTGCTAGAATAACTATGACAAACTGCCATAGAGCATGTGAGGGTTTTCAAAATTATTGTTTTCCTGAAGGAAATACTTGTTGCAGTTTGTAAAGAATCATCAATAAGAGCTTGCCCACAGGACAAAGGTCATGTGCAGCCTGAGGAAACTCGGTCTTATTGGCTTAGGCACAGAAGCAATCTAGCACTGACCATGCTATGTTAGCGTGACATTCCACCAAGCCAATAAAGCTTGCATTTTGTTGTGGCTCATGTGCCTGAATTTTTACTAATTTTTAATCCTTTTCTGAAAAAAATGGGTTGATTGCCAAACAATGGGATTTTAAACAGCTGTAATATTTAGCTGAGGGTTCTTGGTTTGTGGGGACTCTTATTAAAAGGTAAGTAACAGGGCCAAAAACCCCAATGACTTTTGTCATGCTTTTTATTGTGCTTATTATTTGCAATGCATTTCAGGTGTCTTTAAATCCCTGGAAGTGCAGTTGGCTAAAATAGCAATTAGTTTCTTGATTAGTGCAGAAAACAGTGTGAAGCCAGAGGGTAATCCCAAAGTTCCTTGCATATCCCTGATCCTACCTTTCATCTGCTGTGCACAGTGGTGGCCCTAACGCATGTTAGCCAAGGAAGACAGCCAAGGCTGAAACTGCCAAGTCCCTCTACGATAAAGCTACTAAACAGCCTAAATTCTGTCTAGCCCTGGAGCAGCAGGTCCCTGAAAGCCAGCAGAATTTGTTGTCCTGCCCTGTCTTCCCTTACTCTCAGCTCTTTGAGGGACAGGAAAGTGTTTCAAGAGAATCAGCCACATGAAGATTTTGGAAGGCAGTTACAGAATCATTAATGTAACTATTACCTAAACCATCTGCAACTTGACAACACTCTTACAGTATCTAGAACTCCACTTAAGTATGTGCAGACTCATAAAAGTTTCTTCTCCATGGCTGTCATTGTTGACTTTAGGAAAGACTTTCATAATCTGAAGACCCTTCCAATAACCATGCCACAGCTTCTAACTCCATACTCCATATTAAAGCTTTTTATGAGGAACATTCATACTTGAAATCTGAAGTACTTTAAATATCCATATTTACCTATGTACCTATCATAAACTTTACTGTAAACATGCTAGCAAATGAAAATTCATATTTCTGTCTGAAAAGTAGGCTGCTTAGATACAAATGGCAAAGGTAGCAATAAGTTTTCATTAAGTTATTTACTTTAAATTACTTTAAAGTTTTCTTTAAGATATTTACTATTTCTCAGCTTCTTTTTGTTTAGATGTGATCACCAATGGCTGCTCTGTATTGAATATCAGCACTTTTCACACAACACAAATTATTGCATTACCAGCAGATTTCTACTAGGAATTAACCATACAATTCTTGACTGCAAATGCATAAAATCAAAATAGCAAACTTTCATTGAGAATTGATATTTAGAGATCAAATAAAAAGAAGCCTGCAGTCCTCTAAATCCAGGTTAGTTTCTTAGTTGTGTGTTGGCAAAAAGTTATTATCAGCTATTATGCACAAGAATTTGAATGAGATTTAACATAACATCTTAAATTGTCAAATCATTCTTGCTCAGGGAATTGCTGAAACAGGCACAGGCTCTACATATACAAAAACCTATGATTTTTTTTTTTCCATGAGCACTTCTAGTCTCTTCTTAAACCTTTGTGAACTTCTTGTTTTTACAAAAACTTCTGAGTTCCAAGTCCAAAACTACATTTTGTCATCAACCACATACTTTCACATTATAAATTTTATTTTCCTCTGTTTTGGTTTTGCATTGATCACATGGCCTATTAGCATCAATTGATAGTAAGCAGTCTAGTACTTTTTTATTTGTTTTCCCATGTAAGCAGTACATTTATATGGTGCACCAATGCAGCAGAGGTTCATTGTGGAACCTGACAGTGTAAATGTATAAACTACAAAACCAGTTATTTCTCATTGCCACATTGAGCTAACTCATTTTCCTCAGCTGTGGTTTCTCTATAACTTGAGAGATTTGTAAAGTGACTTTTTAAGCTGAAAACTTTGAGAATTTTAAGGAGAAGGGGTCTGGGAAAAAAAGTACTACCAACTACAGTGCACCAAATGTATCAGGGCTTCTTAGTTTTCAGTTTACAATAACACCGATAGTTTTAATCTCTGAAGACTAGAGGACATTCCCCAGTAGACAAGTATGCTATTAATATGTTACTGTCTTAGGCCGATTTATTTTCATTTCTGTTAGTTTTTATGTGCCATCACTAAACCCAAGCACATGATTCTGTCTGTATGCCTACTCTCCTGTCAGCAGATTGGTTAAAGCTGATTAAGTGTGTATTCAGATGGTCTCAGTATTCAACATCCTATTTACTAGGGTGTTTTTAAGCTAATCTAATAAAAGATAAAGGATGAGCATTATTTCTGTCTATATTTATTAATTATCCTACCGTTTTTTGAAAATACTACAGCTTATAGGTATAGCACACAGCAGGTCTGCAGGAGTAACAGGTGTATCTTAATCTTTTGTTTAATTTTTATTTTTTTAACACAGATGTGCCTAAGGCAATCCTTTTGAGTATCTAGGAGTATGAGTCAAAAAGCCAACATCAAGAATGTGGTGACATTTTAATATTTCAGAATATTACCTCTTGAACAGCTCATGACAAGATCAAAATGCCTGTAATACTACAAATAATGCTACTGGATGGATGAGCCAGCATTTGGTGGGTAGTCCGTAAGAAAGAAGTGATGCCTAGCAGATTAAGGATCAAACAGGAGCAGTAACTAGAAAAGTCATGAACAATCATAAGAAAAAATAACATTGTCAAATTATTACACAAATTCTCCATTACTAGTTTCTCAAGAGATAAAAAATAAATAAAATAACAGGACAGAAGAGTTGGTGATTTCAAACAAAATTTTTATTTTGCTTTTTAACAAAAGGGATTAAAATTTATTTTTTTTACAAGAGCCTAAAAAAAAATCTAAATTTTAATGAATTCTCAGGAAGTTTGCTTTCTTAATCATAATATTGTCAAAACAAACTTCTAGTGCCAAACAATGCATCACAAACATCGATGCACCTGTAAGTGCTAGCAATATGTGACCACACCTTTATTTCTGTGTATTTGATAGGCAAAACCAAACTCAGACTTCAGAATATAGTCTAGAGGCAAGGAAAAGGGTGACTGCTGATATGGCTTATCATTATGAAGACAAATACTGATTTATTTTTCAAATGTGTTTCCTATGATACATACTATATACCATATTCTTTGAAATACAGCATGTTTGTGCATGTGTGGTTCTCTATATGTTCTTCAAATATATTTATATTGTATTTTTATTTATATATATATATAGATGTGAACACATAGATTTTCATTCTATTTCTAAGTTTCGTCTGTTCTTTTATTTTCTCCATTTGTCTTCTTAAAGAAGTGGACAAAAGTGGAATTTCATGACAGATAACCTTCTTTGGTATTCATTTCAGTAGGGAGTAAACAGGCATGAATGACCTTCTTGTCTTTACCTTTGATTTTTAAAATGTTTCTTGGCACTTTAACAAATGGTTCACCACACTTCAACTGAAGGGGAAGAAGACGTCAATGACTTGATGGATGCTTTTTACTATAAGTAGAAAGCTGATATTTAGCACCATGTATTCTCAGGGTTTATTTTATAACCCTCCTGAATATGTACAACTGAATTGCTAGAATATATTCCTAAGAATATTGTTAAATCTTTCTGCTTGAAATCTCTGAAGATTAAATGCTATGAAAAGACATATAGCATTTTCCCTGAAAAGATTACTATGAAGCAAATCTGAGAAGATTTTGCTCCCAAATCTTTACTGGAATTTGCTATTAGTTTTGGATACAAGGATACCTCAAACTTTTGTGACAATGTTAAGAGTTCACATTATGTTGAGACACATAAATGATTTCACAGCATCAAAAAAAACCAACCAAATACCAAAACAGTTATTGACTGAGGTTTCTAAGCTCTTTTCTGAGCTCTAAAGAAAGAACTTTCTATAAAGAACTGTCATTAAAGTTGTATGCATTAAAAAAATAAAATAAAAATCAAGTTTATAATAATGACATAAGCCCATGGCTACAAAACATACATTTTGGGAGTGGGAAAGAGGGCCTTTGATTTTCTGTGCAAGAACCCTCTGGTAGTTGGAGGCATTTCCTTTGCATTACATCCAAGGTTCATTTCATTTTTAACCTACTGTTGGTTCCCACATCCTTTCGCAACCAGCACATGCTAATGGGAGATGACAGACAGACTTATATAAGTCACTTGGGGCCAGCTCCAATAATAGACTTTGATGCCTTAAATTAGATGTCACTCCACCAAACCATACTCAACAATCCCTCACAGAGATGTCTAGGCAGGTTTGGGGCTTTTTTCTTTACTTTTTGAGCCGAAACCACATCTGCTGTTATGTCTTTTAGCATCAGTACATTTGAAATTTCTCATCTTTCTATAAGGTAACTCGGGAATTTCCAGATAGAAAAAGAAAAATAAATATAGGACTTCCGTGAAAGTGATGTGTACCTAGAATAAAAGATTAAGCCTTACAATATTGTCAAATCAGTATTAGTATACAAAGTGCACAAAAAGACCTGCCAGAATGGTCAAAAGCACAAGTGGAATTTGATCCATATTACTTTCCTATATAAGGACTGTTAAACTCTCTGTTCCATTCCCTGCTTTCCTTACCAAAAAGTCTTTTCACAGGTGCTTTCTGCTTCTTTTGTAACTTATTTAATCAGTTCTACCTGCGCAAGTCAAGTGCGAGCACATACAAATGCCAGCAAATCACAATGGTGAAACTATACCTACACACAGTCCACAGGAGACCACCATATGCATAACACTCTTTCATATTTACATTGTTCCCAGTTCACAGGACCCACTGCTAGTCTGTAACTGAGTTCAAATGCACAATTTAAGGTATTCTAATACAAAGCCTGAGAACCCTCATTTCCTGAACTTACCTATTTTTACTCTATATTGCCAAAGTAAGACGTGCACATAGCTATGCTCAGTTTTGCCATCACCCTTTTATACTCAGGAGTAGCTCTCCACCACATTTTGTATTCTGCTGCTTGAGGAAAGTATAGGCATTATCTTAGCTTGCCCTCTCCACTTTCCCCCTTTCATCTCACAAGCACCATGATTTTACTGTTAATTTCCTGTTGGACTATAAACACTATCTTTCTCTTCTTTTTTTTTTTTTTTCTTGTTTCCCTTGCTGGCGTGTTCTGCAGCTCCCCACCCTTTTGTATTTGTCTCCTAATTGTGGCTAGCCTGAAAATTAGTTCTGAAAGTGGCTCCTTTTACTCAAAAGTATTTTTTTTTCCCTAAATATCCGCTCCCCACTGACCTTCCCCTCTTTTCTGTGCTTCCAAGATAGGTTTACAAAAGTTCAGCCAACCCTTCCATTGCATTGAATAGATTATTTATTTTTAAGTAATCACATTGAGGTGTATTGTCCAGTCTAAGTAGAGGCAAATTCTTTAATACTTCTATTCCTCCTTTTCAGTTTGACAAACTGTTTCAATCTTTCCAGCATGGACATTAACAGTGTACTTTTAGATTATAGAAATATTTTCCAAATTCTTCCTCATTAACATATAAATTTGTACTTTGATAATGTAGGATGTCCTAAACATTATAGTGTCAAAGTCATTATAATTCTTTTTTTTTTGGTAAGTTAATTTGCAAACCTGAAGTTCTGAATTTCCAACCTATAAAACAAATGGTGGCATAGAGATTTAGCGATACAATACGTGGGGAAAAATACCATTTGCTCTCCAAAAAATTATATTTTCCACTTTCATCGGGAAAGCAAAAGGCATAAGACCTTTGTCTCTATGGCCTCACTATAACTTTAGTTCAATGGGATTCCATGGAATATGGGAAGACTTATTAATCCCCCAAGGCCTCTAAACTGGATATTTTTCCCTTCTTCAGCCTCTCTTGTAGGCGGGGTTTTTCATTTTCTAAAATCCTCTTAAGAGCTGAGGCAGTGGAATTTTAGGCTTCAGATTTAATAAAGGAATTCTTTTCCCTTGGGTATGCAAAATTGAGAAGAGGTATATGCAAGTTCAAATCCAAAATGAATAGAATCATTTCACATCTTTTTTTTTAATTATTATCCAGTTCAGGTGACTGGAGAGCAATGACAGGTCAGTCAGTAACATGGCATCAATACAAAAGTATGCACATTTCAAATATCGAGGTGTATACTATCTCACCAATGAGATCTTAATTAAAAATGACAATTTACTTGCATACTGCCTAAGTTTATGGAAAAGATTTATTTCTATACCTAATGAACCATAGAGAGCTGTATAAGAGGATATTACACTGTGGAGCTCCTATAAGTTCCGCATCCCTATTTAATTATTACTCTACTGAATGGTAATTAATTATGGTCATTTTCTCCGACAGCTTTCTGTCAGCCAGCCAGGTGTAATCTACAGAACACATAGAAAACCTACAACATTAACATTCATAATACTCTACATGTAAAACATTGAAGCAGAGAACACTAAAACCCTCTCTGATTTACGACTGAAAAGGCAACAATATTGAGTTTTGTTTTTTTTTTTTCCAAGGACTTATGCCTAGATTAAACTGATTTGGACACATAAATGGCAGGGCCTTTATTAGGCAGATCCAAAAAATGCAGTGCTTCAAGAGGCTTGTGTTCAGTGACTATCATTCTGTCCTTGAAGTTAGCTGAACATGTAAAATTGCAAGCACCATTATTTACCAAAACGAGAAAAAATATTATTTGGCTGCCTGGTTAATGTTTAGGCATGGACTATTAACTATTAGATTTTCAATTTACAATTTTGATTTCTTAATATGCCTAGTAGCTACATAAACTCTATCTCAAAGGGACTTTCAAAGCATCTGTATACTTTATTGTGACATTTCACTCCAAAGAAGATCAGTAAATGTATACAGCTGCATTATTTTCTTATCAGAAAATCCTGTCTAAATGACCATGGTCCAATGCCCTGCTCAGTGCTTCCATCAAATGGCTCCATCAGGGCAGGAAGCTTGGATTTGTCTCAGTGGTAATATAAGATTTTTTTCAGTCTGGGAATGCTGATTTAACACCTCTGCTTGAGGACACAGTTCTCAGCATGAAAGGTCTGTGCCCCTGTGCTGCTACCTATGACCCTTTTTTGTCCTCCCAAACAATATATGCAGCTTCCAGCTGCCAGATTCCATTTCTGGTATCATACAAAGATTCAATGCTCTCCAACAGTATGAGTGATTCTCCAGTGATCTCCAGGACAAAGTGTACTGTGTACCTGATTTCAGAGCTTCTCCCTCTCAGCGACAGCAAAGCATCTGCTGCATGGCCTAAGACAGGGTCCTCACAAAGGTCACAGATCCATCCTTACAAATTCTTAATGTATCATTGGCTAAAAATAAACTCTGCTAAGCCATAACAGTGCCTATTAATATATAATTCAGCAACTCTTCAGGGTAGTCTTGTCAGTTTACTATTTTACCACCATTGACTTCAGCAGCTGAAATAAAATTAGGTTTCAAAATGGGAAGGATTACAAACAAGCCTTAAACTGTCTTTTTTTTCGTATAAGTTTATAACCTATAACAACAAACAAGAATTTACAGATAAGAGAGACAATTGTGAGCACATGCCTTAGGCCAGCAGCCATCTAAATGTTTCTTTTGGGCTAGCCCTCCAGCACACTGGTTCTTGTCTTTTGAGAGCCCTGAAGGAAGCAGGTTCTGAAAAAGGGTTTAAGGAAGACATTAGTAAATAGTAACTTAAGAAATCAGCTCAATAACATAGTGGAGTAATCAGACAGAATGAACACTAGAACAATCAGGCACAGTCTCAAGATAGATCTCCCTGATGACAGGAGGTCATGAGAGACTAATGCCGTGCAGTCAGGAGCACGGAGTAGGAGAGCAAGAATTTGGGTGTAAGATCCAAAGATACAGACAAGAAGTTTGAACTTCCTAGGGCTGGATTTGGTAGAAGTTCAAAGAAAAGAGTGGCATGAATCACAAGTTATCTGGCAGGCATTATTATGTTGCAGTTTGTTCCCTTTGGGGAAAAAGATGTTTCAGAATCTTTTTTCAAACTGGACTGGCAACTATCACTTGTGGGACCACAAGCATGAAGGGCACATCAAGCTAATGATGAGTGGTTTTCTTCCTCTCACATTCTTCCGTTGGCCTTCTAAAAAATTAAGTCTTTCAACATAACAGGAAATTAATACTAATTTATATGCACGCTCCAGCTGAAATAATCTGCTGAATATGTGTGATTACAAAGACCTCTGTTTAATTCATTTCATTTGCAGGGGTAATTTTCATTACAACTCATCTTAGTCCAGCTTCACTAAAGCCAGTTATAGAGTCTGCCTAAAGACGGAGCAGATAAATATGCTTTACAAGGCAGACAAGATTCTTGTTAGAAATGAGTAAGGCAGAAATGATCATAAGCATTAATGTAACTCCCAAAATAATAAAAAAAGTATTTCCTCAAATATTTGCACTCAGCTCATCTGAAATGACTGGGAGTTATCCAGGACCAGCCAGGGTCAGAACCTACGTTCTACTGACTTTAAACACTAAGCATTGTTTAAATTTGGTTAAACTTAGTTTATGTCTGAATTTGGAAATAAGTGAGGCTAGGGGAATTTCACTTTCAGAGTTCTTGTCAGACTTTGCCCACTTAATCCTTTAATTGGATGTTGAACTTTCTAAGCATAAAACCAGAAACTGTACACACTTCTCACATGCGAAAAATATTGTGTGTATGAAACTGATGAAGATCAGAAGACTTAGCTTCAGAAAATGTTTTTAAAGTATAAAAGTGTTCACAGTTTTGTTATTTTTTTTTTTTTAGGAGAAAATAGAATCCAGAAGTATTTAACTATATTGTTTTATACTAACATGGATGATACAGTTGACAACATTTAATGAGTTTCCCAATATTTATTTCAAAGTAGCGTTTTACATCTTGAAATGAATACCAGGGCTGGCAGGTGTCAAGACTCAATAGGAATTTACTTTCAGAGTAATAATGCAAATTACGCATTTGAATTCTACAAAGAAAAGAACAGCAGTAAAGTATGTAGTGACAGTACTATGAAGTTTGTAAAAGGTGTGATGGATAAGGCTTCCTGGTATATCTGTTTTACCCAGCACAACAAAATTTTTGTGACTGGCACTGAATGAAGAATGTACTTAAATTTAGCTATGGGACCAAACATTTTAACAGCTTAAATTTTCACTATGGTTCTTGCTGTTTCCAGAGCCTAAATATTTTGCTCTGATTCAGCATTTCTCTACAAAGTTTATGCGGAACAGAATATCTTCTAACCCCAACACAAGTTCACTGATTCCCAAGATGATAGAACAGAAATCAATAAAAGAGATAATTTCCTTAGTTATTTTATAGTAATGTTGAGAGAAAGTTCAAGACTTATTTAATACTAAAAACTAGTACAAAAGTTAGGTGTCTGTATCATTCTTAATATACTTTAGTATAAACC